GCTTACTGTTAAGATTGCGTCAAAAATCGTCCTCTATACGATGGTGAAAACCGCAGGCCGCTAAGACCTTTCGTTAAAAAGTTATTTGAAAAACGGCAACCGGCACGACCTTTCCGTTTCGATAGTAATTAGTTAATTTAATGCTTACCGGATCGTTTCCGTTTTTTCTTTATCGATGGTTCATCCACCACGTCTTCTTGTTCGGCCGGTTTTATCGATACGAATGGTACTGCCTTCCTCGGCATTGCTGGAACACTCTTATTGCTAGTATTGATTTGTCCCATCTGTGCTTTCTTTTTACTTTCTTTATCATCGGAAACTGCCCGTTTTTTCGATGAAGTTAGTGATTTTTTGATTTTACTCTTCTTATCTCTATTACTCTTTTTCTCTCCGCCTGTTTTCTTCTTTCTACTCTTCTTTCTAGTTAATTTTCCACCCACACGGTGAAATACGGCTTTTGCTTCACGTGTTGTTGAAACAATCGGTGACTGAATGGGTGTAGACTGATCTTTTTCAGCTCTAAAACCTTGTTCTGTGTTATTTTGAACAAAATCAAAAGCTTCTGTGATCTGAGTGAACGATGTCGAAGTCAATGGTTCAGTAGTTGTTATCGCCTACAAACGTATGATATAGAAAATTTGTATAAAACAAGCTCGCTGCTCATTCTCACACCTCTTCTCTCGCCATCACTGTTAATTGTTGTTTTTTATTCGTTTTCGGTTCGATTTTTGCTCGGCTTGTTTTAGATACTGCTTTAAAAAGCGATAATCTTTTAGGTGTCAACGATCGTTTCGCTAATATTGTCTGACTTGTTGTTGAAATTCGTTTACCTGGTGTTGATAGTTCTCCGGCTTCTAATTGTTGTTGGGTGGGTGTCATGATTGTCACCGTTTTTCGATTGTTGCTGCTTTTTGTTTCTTCGACTGTTACCGTTGTTCCTTGTTCATTGATTTCGGGAAGTCCCGTTTTTCTTTCTGCGATTGTTTTTATACTTGCCGGTTTATTAAGCACTTCTTCTTGTTCGATAGCTTCCGATGGAGCTTTTTCTTCTTCGGATGTGAGAATGGATAGTTTATTGATTAAATTCTTTTGTTGTAAAACGAATGGATGAATGATACCGAGATCCAGAGCCGTACAACTGTCAGCAGGTAACAGTTTTTCTTCCTCTTTGATCTTGAGTTTAGAGCTTTTACCTGATCGATTTACTGGACCAGAGTGACTGGAACGATACTAAAGATTAAAAAACAAAGAAAATTAAAAGCCATGAGACTTTTTTTCTAGCTTTCTTGGTGATTCAATCAAGTTTTGTATTTCAAAACAGCTACAGAACTGAAATGTATTTTAACAAGTTAAGTGCAGAAAGGACCTCAGTACGCAACTGTGGTCTGCAGTATCTGGATAAGTAACTGATTACATCTACGGTAATGATCGCATTTCGTTTAGCAAGTGAATCTCCCGTGGTGAATGTACTTGATGCAACTACTTGATTACTTGCCGAGCACTATGAAGCACTTGAACAAGAACTTGACAAGTGTTGCTGCTTCCCAAGTTCTTGTCTAAGGACTCACCAAGTATCATCACCTAATTCGCTTCAGCCAAATGCTTGGACGAGTCAATTACTCTTTTTTGTTTTGCATCGACAAGTTGTATATAAACGTCACAATATCAATGAGTATAAACTTAGAAAGTAAATTCAGATATTTCTATTGAGTTGAAAAAACTTGGTAGCCACGCATGCGTGTGCTCTACAAAAGTAAACGATGGCTGCAGAATATGTTTAAAATACAAAATAAAGATAAATGGAACAAGTACTTGGCTGAAGTAAATTTACTTGGAAAAGTCCACTAGTACTTGGCTTCAAGTACATTCACTAGAGTCGATGCAAAACTCATTTTTCTGACACATTCTAGTTGTGTGCAAAACTCGCGATGGTGAGAAGTTTTACATCGTCCGATTTGACTGCTGGTGACACGCTACGTGAGATGAATGACATTTTATTCGTTTGTTGTTGCTTTTCAAAACCGATCGTTGCATCATCTTGTTCGTCTGACCCACTTTGTTTCTGTAATCTATAGATTAAAGCCTGTTCTAAATTTTCTTCATACACGGCATAATCAGGCAACTCTTGCATATTTGCATGCAAATCGAATTGTTCCACTATAGGACATGCACCTTGTTTGGTTTTTCCATAATGTACAAGACGTTTTTCTAACGGCCGAATTTTTTCTTCTATACGTCTTGATACTATTTCATCTCCGTCAGGTGAGAAGCCAACCGTTTGATCATGCAATTTACGACGAGTAAACACTTCACTAAATTCATGACCAGTGAATTGTTCCTTATATTCTATTGTCGTCGGTGTATAAATTGTTCTGGCTCGATTGCTTTCAGTTTGACGCGGTATAATCCGATAATAATATTCGTCATCAAAATCTCTAGGTACAGTAATATCCATGGCAGACTAAACAATCAACATTTTTGTTAAGAGAAGCAAATTTGAAGTAAAGTTTTACAACATATGGAGGGTGTCCCACCTCTTTCGTTTTTTGTTTCAAATCAGTTTCCTCTCGGGTTACTTCTTCTTCTGGTGTTTCACTGCGCGTAACCATTAAGGTTTTTGATACAATATTTGAGTCATACATGCCTTCAGCTGTAGTTCGTCCCGGTACGATAATATCGTTCAAAGAAGATTCGAATGTTGTATCGCGATCAATCTTTACTGCCTTTTTTAGTATCATTGGAATTTTTACTGGAACGTCTTTCTACAAAGCAGAATCATACAAATTCACTTTTGGATTTTCAAATCATATTTATCGATTTGATGGCATCCAAAGCCGTCAAAAAATTCGAGTTTTCCTTTAAAATCTGCGACTTGAAAACGATTGGGTATTGCTAAAACACGCGAACAGCTACGAACAGCCACGAACACCCACGAACACCCCCAAATTAAAATCTGAGTTAGCCAATCGATAGAGCTCGTCGAGCTGAGTATAGCAACGTCTAACGAACACCCAAAAAACTTTTTATAG